CAGTCTGACATTGTTTTCACTATTTTCTAGAAACATACTGTTAGCAGTTTTTATAATTGTATAATGATATTAATGGAAGAAATAAGCGAATAATTGGTGACATTCAGGCAGTATATAAGTGGGTGATGGGTTTTCTAATCAATTAACTATTAGACACACATTCATAGCAAACCAGGCCACATTAGTTTAGCATTTTCCCCATAGACCTACACAGTACTCTGGCAAATTAGGTGTTTAATTAAAAAGACCAGAAATTGGCCCATTTCTTATCTCACTCAGATTGTGACTAAAAGTTAAGGTTATTGAATGAATGCAGACACTATGGATTTGAGTTTTCCTGTGTTTCTTTTCCGATAAATTTAATTCTTTTCCATTTAAAAATTTAGATAATTATTAGCTATTCTTCATATCATATTGTAGACATCCCAATACGAATGCACTAACTGGTAGAACTTCTTTTTTATGTCTACTAGGTTGCTTTTTTGAAGGCTAATACTACTTCCAGTTTTGCAAACAAATAATTCTTGGAAAGTACGTGTCTCAGATTTCAAACAAGTTATCTTTAGTGATACTGATGGCATAATGTCATTTAGTGCTGTTTTCTTTTCTTTCAGTAAATTGTAGAATAGAAATTCTGCAATTTGACCATTTTTGATTTGAGCAGTTTTTCTTTTGGGGTCCTAAAAACTGGGACATGATGCGAGATTTATTTTCTTACAGAAAATTAAGGTAATATTTTAATTTTAAAAATGTGTTTAAATTTTTATGCTCTTAAACATCACTCATTGGAACAAAATTCTAAAGTCAATCCTAGAATATGGGCAAGCACCATAAAGTGAGGATTAAAACATATAAAGCTTCAGGATAGTCACCTCTGTAGATTAACTAGATATATACTATGCTTTTTAAAATCTGCCTCAAGTCATAAACACAAAAATATTAGTTAGGATATATTTATATTGTTATTTTCTACAACATGGGAACAATACTATTGGAAAAAGCAAGTACAAATCTTAGGTGTTTTTTATAAGAGACTCTCAGAAGAATTTTTCTATAGATGCAGATAGATAAAATGATTCAACTGTACATACTCTATGGCTTTGAGAACTCAACTGTACTCCGGTTCATTAGGGGAAAAAAAACAGGATATTTGGAAATCATGATAAGACATATGAAAATAAATTTGGTAATGTCTATGAAGTATTTTGCTATAAAAGTCAATCGTTTTAAATTATGTCTTTCATGTTAACAAGCTGAATTATGATTTTGTAGTTTACATCTAGTTTAATGAACTGCAAAGCATTCATTTCATCTAAATAATGAAGATGAAAAAGGCATATATCAATTTATTTTATATATTTGTTCAAGACATTGAGCTATTGTATATGATAGAAGGCAAATTTACCTGTTATTTATAGTATACTCATGAATACATGCTTTTATTGCTCTTAAATTACGGGCTGTATCATTTACATTTCAATAAATGTCAATGTGATCAAGAACAAAAATATGCTAATATAACACTCCTCACTTGTATAATTAAAAAAAAAAGCATGACAAATTAAAAAACAATATAGCACCAGTATTTCAGGCTATTAGTAATAAAAAGAGTTTATATTTATTAAGCTCTTATTATGTAGCAGGTCCTCTTCCAAACACTATAAATGTATTTTATTACTAAAACCTAAATGAAAAAACAAATAAACCAAAATTTTTGAAAGTCCCTCCCATTAAACAAACGTTTTAAGGTACAATCAAAGGTGATGTAAAATGATATTGACTATTTCAGCAGGTTATGCACTTTATTTATAAATCACCATAAGTTTGATTAGTCCATAAATTTGGATAATAATTCCATTCTACATAAATACTCTGTGAACAAAATAGTACCTGGAGGGTACGCTGAGCAGGATGTCATGTTATTATTATTACGATTAATTTGAATTGTTTTATCTTTTAGGTATTATTTTCCCTAACATCTCTCGATTTTCCAAAAGCTTTTATCAGTCAAAATCCCATAGGCAACACACAGGTAACACAAATCTCTGGCACAGCTGGGTGTAGAGATGGGGAGTGCGGAAGTCTGGGCTGATGCCAGCAGCCATGCACATGTGTTGCACATCCTAATTAAACTAAGAGGCTAATGCTAGCCAAACAAAACACTTGGTGAACCAAATCTGATCCAAATTTAACTCTAGGAGTTCAGTTTTTGCAATTCTGAAAAAATGCATTATCAATTTAGGGGAAAGGAAGTAATAAGGAAAAAATAACAATGTTGGAACCTCAGTATCTTTTCTTACAAGCATGTATTTTTCCCCTTTTCATACATTTTCTATTCCTGTCAACTATGCTGCTATTTTCCCACAATTGAAACCTGGGAGTCCACTTAATACCTTCATTTTTCATCATCACATTATCTTGACATTTTTCCATCCTTATTTCTCTTAAATGCACCCCATCATTTTTTTCCTAAAGCCACCACTTTAGAATAAGCCTTTGTTACCCGGCAGTGTATATACTTTACAATGTTCATATTTATAATGCTATTTCAATACTTTTAGCTTTACTTCAGTTCTTTTTTATCATGATGATCATGTCCCCTGCTTTCATTTCTGCTGCCTCTGGGAAAATGGGAGGAGATCTTAAGAGAACATGCTCTTGGACAGCCATCTATGCTGTCTTATAGGACAGCGTTCACTGAGTACAATTAGATTAAAAAATATACACCCCAGGCAAGTGTACTCTAGCTGTGTAGACTGATTGCTATTGGGTAGACTTGTTAGAGAAATATGCGTTGTTCTCTTTAAAAAAAATTTTATTCCTGTCAAATTCAGAAGTGAAGGAAATATCCAGACCTCCACAGAAAAGAATTGGGAACCAGTGATAAATTGCCTACCAGGCAGGTGGCACTTGGAATCTCAGGCCTCACAAGTGTCTCATGATTTCCAACCTTAAAAAAAGTGCTTTAAAGCAATTTTTATACTCTAAAGTAATGACTAACAATGAATGAAACCAAGATTCAAATAATGAATGATATACTTTAATAACTATTGAGATAAGAAAAAAACAATTGCTTCAAGTTTTGGCTAATACATCGTATGATGTATCAAATGGATATTATGTTACCAATCTTCATGACCACAATCTTAGTGGAACCTATTGCTCTATATAATATTGTCCTATATGATAAATATGTCTGTAACATTTTCTATGTAAGTGCAATATTTATGGTTACAATATAAGCAGACTTTATGTTGATTTGTTTTTTAAGCTCTTAAGAGAAATGTTCCACAAAGACTAAAAGATATCTAAGTCTCATGCTTATTTCTATTTCTTGAAATACCTGCCATATTGATTAAATTTTGTGGCTGAAGTACTTGGGAAATGAAATCTATAAACTCTATGGTTAAATATATTAAAGTCTCCAGAAAAGGTTATGGTTTCATTTTCCAGGAGTTTTGTAAGAATTCTTATGATACTGCGTAAAAGCAGGATCCAGTCAACTATTTGTGTATCTTTTTCCTTATGGTCATATAATACTTAATGCAGAGGTTTTAATATGAGGATATTAAATTAGATTATGAACCATAAATCTTTATGGCTATTGATTTGATATTTTGAATTTAAATTTATATTTTGACTATAAATACATATTGAATATACTTCTTATTACTAAATATATAATGCTACCAAAAACACATGAATGTAGCTTATTGGATATAAACTTGGCATCATTTAAGCAACTTCTTTTTAATGTTTTCCTCATTGTGAACTCCAGGTTTTTACTTAGCAATCATAGCATAGATTTTTCCATGTATAAAAGATATTTATTCAAAAAGTATTAATTGAGCACCAACTATGTATAAATCATTTTTCTAGGCACATAAGATATATCAGTGAAGAAAACAGAAAAAAAATTAAAAAACACTAAATACTGAAAACCAAAACAACCCTCATGGATTGATGCAGTTTACACTACAGTGGTGGAGACAGATAAACAATAGATAATACAAATCTGTAAATTGTGCATTTTGGTTAAAGGTGCTATGTAATATGGGAACTAGAAAATTTAGAGCAGGGTAAAGGGACTTTCAAGTCTCCATCTTTGGATGTGAGTAGAGCAGGATGCAATATGTAAATAGGGTAGTCAGGATAAAATTTGAGTGAAATGGTGAAGAAAGTGAAGAAGTTTGTTCAGCAGGTATCTGAGGGAGGAATGTTTGCAACAAAGAGGCTTGCCAGTAGGAAGGCCCAAGGGGCAGTATGTGCTGGGTGTTAGTGCCACAGCAACAAGGAGAATGTGGCAGAATGAGAAAGGAGGAGAGAGGCAGAAGATGAGGTCAGAGCCATGATGAGGGAGAAAGGATGTCATGTAAGGTCTAGATAATCCCTTATAAGGACCTTGGCTTTACTCTAAGGGAAATGAGCTATTGCGGGTTTTTGAAAAAATACCCACTCTTAAGGTCTGTCTGTTTCTGTTCTCATCTGACTCTGAATCTATCTCAATTGTATTGCCATGCCCATTAATTATGCTGAAAATAGCATAATGCACAGCACAATTTTTTTTGAGCAACATCTTCCCACTCCATCCCCTTATCCCCTGGTGACCACCATTCTACTCTCTGCTTCTATGAATTCAGCTTTTTTTGCATTCCACATATAAGTAAGGTCAGGCAGTATTTGTCTGTCCATGCCTGACTTATTTCAGTTAACATAATGGCCTCCAGGTTCATCCATTTGTTGTCACAAATGACAAAATTTCCTTCTTTTTAAAGGCCAGATGATATTCCTTTGTGTATAGATACCACGTCTTCTTTATCTGTTCATATGTGGATGGACTTGTAGGTCGATTCCATATCTCAGTTATTGTGAATGGTGCTGCGATGAACACGGGTGCTAAGAAATCTCTTGAACATACTCACTTCATTTACATTGGGTATATACCCAGTAATGGGATTGTTGGATCATATCGTATGGTTCTATTTTTAATTTCAATAAATAAGAAATAACATAAAGAAATAACATTTATAATGCATAATACATTTTAGTATGATTTCTTTTCAATATTATCATTCTGAATGTATTGGGGTTAATACATGGACTCATTATGATATTCTGTCAGTTTATCAGAATTTGTCCAGTAACAGATTCAATATTTATTATAATGATATATATTATATATGTTATAATGATATATATATATATATCTTTATAATTGACAAGGCCAAATAAACTCTTCATTTTCAAGTGCAACCGGATTATTAGCTGAACATTCCATATTGTCTTGTAATTTAGATAATAAATGATTAAAATAAGTCTATAAGTTCAAATTCTGAGACTTTTGTTAAAAATATAGCATTCTAGCTAAACTCCCATAGAAACATCCCTTTTGCCTGCCCTTTAGCACTACAGCATCTGTTGAATTTTCAGGCTGACATACCTCCTGATTAGTCAGCTCCATCTAAGGAATTTAAAAATCAAAAAAAATGCAGCCTGGGCAATATAGCAAGACCCCACCTGGTGGTGCACCCCTATAGTCCCAGATGCATGGAAAGCTGAGATGGGAGGATTACTTATTGGGCCCAGGAGTTTGAGGTTGCAGTGAGCTGTGATCACGCTAATGCACTTCAGAATTGCACTCTGTCTCTAAATAAATAAATAAATACATAAATGAAATGGGAGTAACAATAATGCTGAGAAAAGAGGCTGAAAATCCAAACAGACAATGACTTTGCTTTTATTTAACATTTGTTAGGGACAGAGCATAAATGAAGCTGAAGTTCCTCAGGGAAATTTGCTTCAGAGTCCTGAGATAGTTACGGTTGCTTCTAGGCACATGTCCCCTGGGTTTTCCTTATTCAGTCAGGGTTGTGAAATACTTCAGGTTTCTTAAGTGAAAGGAAAATATTGTCTATAAACAATGATAAGATTTTTTAAAGTATTAATTTTTGTTGCAATAAAGAGAAAGTTTTACCTATCAATATTATACATTGTGAATAATATAATTTTATATATTATTGCATGTAACTTGGTTGCATTAGAGAACCAAAGAAAATAGTAAAAATTGTCAGACCTCTGGAATACATTTTTCACTGTCATTAATTAAAACCATTTTAAATATTCTTCTCTCTAATTACTTTCTCTCACTTCCAAGTTCGATCTTAACATGAACATTGTCAGATACACTGGATAAAAATAATCCTTTTGATTATCTAAATTTGTTCAAATATCAAATTGATATTTGAGTATATCTATATACTATACCTGTTGAAGTCACATGAAGTGTCAATAATTTTTCATTGAGAATACAGAACAATGCCTTCCATGTTTTAAATTCAAATAATATTATTTTTGTTGTAAGCAGTGTGTTTAAGACTTATTTACCGAAGGCTTTCTGAGGGCTTGAGGAAAGCATTAAGCAGGTAAGCTTGTACAGCAGCTTACCAGTGCTACTACTCCCCTTATAACCTCACAATACAGTTTTTAAATTAGATTTTGCTTTCTCAAAAAATAGAAAAAACAACACTAGAAAAGTTTAAGTAATTGTTAGTTATTGAAAAAACCAGAAACAACACATTTCTGCCACTACATTCTGTGGGGTCTTTTTATTATACCTTAGCAATGACCAGTCATGGTGAAATGCAGAAATTATTACCTTTTTTTACATTATGAAATATGCTTCTAAGATTTCCTCAGGTTAAGCTTCATCTTTTGATTATAATGTTATTGTGACTTCAGTACATTCTTTTCCAATGTAATTTGAGTTGACACCATGTTGAAACTGAAGGATAGATATTTTGATGGGTGAACTTGACTTATCCTTCCTGTGTATAATATAACCAAAGCAACAAAAACAACAAAAATTAGAGGTACAAGTCCTTGGAGTTATTCAGTGCTTTCTGTGTTCATGAGCCAGACTGTGTATGAAATGCTGAATGTATAAAGCATGCAAAATGGGGTCTTGGATCTCAAGAGCTGATTATTAATCACACGTAAACCGCAATACAGGAGTGCTACACCAAAGTATAGAGTATGTACTAGAAATTATAAAGACCTAACGTTTTATTTAGTATTTCTGCCTCTTCAGATATTCCCTGGGCATTCTTCCATTTTTTCTGCCAGCAATTCTTATTTTCCATTCACAGCCACTAGAGGTGACTGACAGGAACTGAAAATGAGCTTTGTGTGTATTCATAAAATTCTAGGGATTAGTAACATGAAATAAAAAGATTTATGTGAAGTGCAGGTTTTCATATGTAGGCTGAGCCGTCTTAAGGATGTGCCCTGTGGTGAGCAGAATTCAACAGCTAAAAGGCGTCTTCTTGTTCATAGGCTGCTTTGTAGTCCTCTTATCTCTCTTTAAACCTTTATTTTCAGCCCTCCATTCTAAGAGTCAAATGAGATATGATCAGAACAAGCAAAGGAAATTAAATATTTGGGGTTTGGGATATATTAGCCAGGGGTGAAAATGGCTGTAGTAAAAAACAGTGTGTCTGTATTTTGTAATCATGGTGCCCATTCAGATTGTAATAGAAGCAACAAAATGATAGGCTTATGCTTGGCTCAAATAAAATAGACATTTTCTGTACAACATTTAAAAAGATTTATTAAGGACTTTGAACTAATATTTCCCTGGCTTTGGGAGAGCAAAGCACATACCAATAACTCCTTTAATGAAAGAGAGAGAAATGGGGGCGGGGGATATTGTTTTCTTGATTTAAAAATATGTTTTAGCTTCTTAAAGCTTCCAATCCCTGAAATAATTGCTTGGAAAAGTGACAGTTCTGCTTTGAAATACTGCCATTTTGCCTCTCTGTTTCCAAATGTATATTAGACAATTCACCTAGTATAAATAGCACTTCAGGAATATGGAAGAGAGATGTCCTCTTAACAAATTATAACTATTTGATTCTGACCCATTTTGAACATTCTGCTAATGTTTGTGATAAAACAGCATAATGTGACTATCAGGAGATAATTTTTCTTGTTCTCTGTGCTCTACGTATTTTGAAATATCATTTTAATGTAAGAAATATTTAAGAATATGGCTTTAATGTTGCCTTATACCCAATTTTGGTATGTTATAGCAAGTATGAAATAGAAATGTTTTAATATCTGCTTGTTTGAAAAAATAACTTTTTGGATTTGGAATACATGTCTAAGTTTTAAAAAGCCAGATTGTACTAAAAATCTATCATTATGTTTTCAGTAAGATGGTTGTATCTGAAAATGTCTTAGTGAATTTCCATGAACTAAATTAAAGAAATAAACTTTCTATAAGTGGTTCATGCTATCTTTTTAAAGAGAATTTGGGTTTTTAATTTCTATTTTTTTTTGCAACTTGAATCCATAATCAGGAGTTATTTTATAGTTATTTTTGCCATTAGGTTTTAAAGTTATATTTTTATTTTCAGGAATAGCTCTGAATTCCTTAATTGTATTTTAAATATGCTCCAATTCTATTAAAATAATTTATATTTGATAACATAGTGGAGTGTGCTAGTAGGTGATTCCGTTTTTACCTTTTTACAGTAGATCTTTGAAGAAACTTGTGATCCATACATTTGTGGATTTTGTGTGTGTGTGTGTGTGTGTGTGTGTGTGTGAGAGAGAGAGAGAGAGAGAGAGAGAGAGAGAGAGAGAGAGAGAGAGAGAGTTTAAATAATGACCAATGTATTTTTAAATTTTTGTTCAATTTAACTTTAATTGTATAAATTCTTCAAGATTAGTTTTTAAAATTTTATTTATTCTCCCATTCTCAAAGTAACAATATAGTAAAATATAGATTGAAATAATGTTTTTGATGACTTAAATTATATGTAAAGAATTCATAAATAACTCAGCATTCTCTTTAAAAGCCTGATGAACTCAGTTAATTATAAGAATCGAACTTACCTTGCATATAAAAACTAATTTTATAAAAACAAATCCACAGAATATCTCACATTATAACATAAGCTGTTGCTGCTTTTGCAGTTGTTATTTTTGTTTTAATAAAATTTCTTAATGACCATAAAGATGATAAAGAATCTTAAAATCACTTTGGTCGTGAGGTTTGTACATTGTAGCACCAGATTTTCACTAGACATTTTAATGTTGAAAAGTAAGACCCTCTTTCATGGACAGTGAAGGGGATTCTTTCTAAGGAAGACCAGTCAAGGCAGAGGAAACAACATGAGTGCAAAGGCTTGTCTTAGAGGATTTGAAAAGGGGCCAATGTAGCTGGTGCGTGGGGAGCCAGTGGGCCATGATGTGAAACAGTGCTGAGAGATCACAGACAGTGTTCTAGTGCAGGAGTATATGGAAAGTAAAATGATAAGTAAATGTAAAGGAAAGTCAAGGGAAGATCTTAAACAGGAGCAGGATATAACTTCAGTTTTCCTTTTGAAATAATTCATCCAGCTGTTGAATCAGTGATAAGTGAGACAAGACAAAAAGTAGACATGACCAGGCAAGCTAATCTATTTCCAAGAAACACATATCCAAGGTACCATATTACTTTGGAGCAATACTTAACAGATGATTTTCAAAATCATGGAACATTTATCGAACACTAGTAAATAAGAAAAACACTATCTTTTTTTCCTGATTTAGTTTTCCTAAGTGGCTAATGATTTTTACTTTATTGGCAATGCCTTCAGTTTTCCCTGTTTAAAATGTAAGGGTTCTGAAGCTATCAAGATCTTCTTTGGACTCTTTGCTGCTTTTTATATGGAAGTGTGTGTTTTTATTTTGAGTTTGGTGGAGAGTTGTGTTGATAATTATCAGTATTGTGCAATTATCCAAACAGAAGTCCAGAGATGAATATATTCAGTATAAGTCCAAATTTTGCCAGTTACCTAGTTGTATGATACTGTATGATGTGTGCAAGCCTAGTTTCTTTCCACTTTTACAGATTTAAGATAATAGTATATTACAGGAAGACTTTTGAATTATCTCCCCAGCCAACCTGCATAAACACTCTTTACCAGTTACTCAGAAAGAAAAATAGGCTTATTTTTTTTAAAGTGTTACAGGAGGAAAATCAAGGAAAAATAATTTTGTAACTAACCTCTCATTCTACATATTTCTCATTCTTGGTCCCAAAGTAGAAAATTGTCATGATAGGGATATTTGTCTACAGGTGGACATAGTGAGAGTTTTGAGGCTACAGACTTTTGGTCCTACTTGGTTGTTGAGACACATTTTCCAATTAATTCATTTATTCAACAACACCTACTATGTGTCAGATACTGTTTTAGGAATTGGATATACAAAAATGAGTATAACGTGAATTCTTAACCTCGTGGCTTTTATATTTTGGTGGATTCAATAAACAAAGTCAATAAATAAGATAAATAACATATTGGATGGTGATAAGTATAAGTATCATGGCAAAAGAAAGCAATCCTTGAAGTGGAAAGCTCAATTTTAAACTAGATCAGCTTGTAGCAGATTAAAGATGGCTGCAGACTCTACCACCTGTCCCATCTAAGGTTGGAGTCAACTTCTTCACTCGTAAACCCCTTGCTGAATCTGGACTGCCTGAGACCACTTTGACAATACAACATAATTATGCTCTGCCATTTCTGGGCTTAGCCTTTAAGAAGACTGGCAAATTTTGCTCTCTCTTGGAGCTTCTCCTCTGATGGAAGCCATATATTATCTCTCACCTTACTGTTAAAGAGCTCCAACTAGGCACTTGGAGAGGCCACATGAAGTGAGATGTTATGAAGAAGTCCTCTGTGGCTGCAGGTGTGCTAGCTGAGGAACCATACATGCAAGGAAGAAACAGTCTTGGACATCTAGCTCAATAACGCCTTCAGGTGACTGCAGGTCCATTCACTTTCTGGGTGCATCTGCATGAATGATTCCAAGTGAAAACTGCCAAGTTGAGCCCATGAAATGTGAGAAATTATAATAGATTGTTGTTTTAAGTTAGTTATCCATTTTGTGGATAGCACATGAGGCAGCAACAGATAACTCCCCAAACAAACACGTGAACAAACGAATGAATGAATGAGCTATATTTTGAGCAAAGGCCTGAAGATTATGAAGGAGCAAGCCATGCAGATACCTATGGGAACAACACTTATGTTAATTAGTCCATTCATAACAGGTGAGAATGAGGGTTTAACTGGATCTCCAGACATCATGTGAACAAGCAGAATGTATTCTACTAAAACCCGACAGGGTACGCAGTTTAGGCCAGTAATATGGCTGCACGTTCTTTCCTTCTAGGGATTGCTTTTGTACATCAGAAACATGTCTCTACCTGATTGTTCCCTCACCCTAGAGGCTTATTTATCACAGTTAGGAAAGTACGGTTCCAATCATTATTGAAGCAATTAACTTTTCTGCCTTAGGGAAACAAGTTTAATTAATCAAAACATTCTTGTTAAGTCATGTTGACCACTACAGAATGTTCTGTAATGAGTGATACATTTCTCAAAAAAAATCTATCTGAATGTTAAATATTCATATTAATAAACATTTCATAATAAAACCCTTTTCAAATAGAGACAGGGTCTCACTTTTTCTTGCTCAGACTGGTCTTGAACTTCTGGCAGTAAGCAGTCCTCCCTGTTTGACCTTCCAAATTGCTAAGATTACAGCTGTGAGCTACTGTGCCTCGCTGTAAAATCAAATGTCATCATTCTTTTGGAAACTTCCCAATAAACAGGCTTTCACAAACTGTGCAGTATCTGTTGTCAATAATAATCATTTGAGAAATTACCTGTCTGTAATTATAGCTCCCTCATATGGGCTGTGGAGATCACATCAGTCAATGCATTTAAATTCTTGGCACTGTTCCTGATGCATTGGAACTATTCAAAAAATTCTTATTAATGTCATTAGTTGTAGACTGTATATTTTGTTTCATGGTTTGTCCCAAATTTCTCAGAGTAATTCCTGCTTAACCCCCCTGTGTTCCATGTATATCGTAGCTTATGAACTAGTTTTAAAGCATCTTCAGCATTTAATGTGATTTCATATGATACTACATGGTTTCCATATGCTGCTACATCTGCACATCAGAATCCACTGAAGCACTTACAGACAGGATTCTCAACAGAAGGGATCTTGGATCTCTATTTTTGTCAAAAATCTCTCATGATTTTGAAGCCCAGCCACAGAATTAGGGGGGTGGGGTACAAAGAATGCCTCCAAACCCTGCACATTTTTTTCCTTTTTAAACGTTTCTTTTAAAATTAAGAAACTGGTTGTTTAAGTGTATTATTTTAATAATGACTAAAATGTTTAACTTTAAAAAAACCTGTCATTTGAGTTTATCTTGGTAAGGCTGCTTTGTCCTGAATGATTCAACTGTTTACCTTAACTTTCTACTTTGTTGAGACCAAGACATATTTAAATAAGATGTTAATACAAATTTTATAATATTTGAGGATTGTTTGAGCTATTTTCTAGAAGGCTTTAAAAATATAGGTTATCATTCATTAATTAAAGTGTTATCTATTAGAAAGTGTGTTTGCTAAACACTTTATAGTGTAAATAAAGCATTCCTCAGAAGCACAATTTTGAACTATTATTACTCATCTTTCTTGTCTGCTATATTTTACACCACGGGGGTTTTAAACCCACTATTATTCAGATTATGTTGAACCCTAAGCCCACTGCCACTTATTCTGATTTGCTGATGATCACCATGACCCAGGCCACTTTAACTGGACACTTGGGTATCACAACAATGCTAGATGTTTCCATACAATGTTTTTGGAAAAGTTTCTGAAAGGGGCTAGAAATTTTAAATTTTATTTCTTACTCATATGTAGGCTCAAATAGGGTAGAGATCATAGTTTTGGTCACTTCTGTATACACGGTGTAGAGAACTAATAGATGTTCAAAAAACATTCACTAAATATTGATACAGGGATTCGGGGATACAGGATTTCTATGCCATGCTGCTAGCACAGGCATAGAAAAAAAGGAGTGAACATATGAAGTGAACTCAGCACAGTCAGGTCCTGATTTAATTGTTCTTATAGTTCTTGTATTTCTATCTAAGCGGTATGTTTCTCTGTATGACAGGATAAGAGAAAGGTTGGCTTCACTCCATTAACATTTCCGTAGACACATAAGGATCCTAAGGCTAAACTGGAATTATTGCAAGTTTTCGGAAATATCCCTCTGGAAAAAATACATTTGCCTTAACTTTAGCAAATAATGTCTTATTCTTCTTTTCTGATGATGACTTAGTCTAAAACACTGTGCATTACCACAAATGCTGTTGTGCTCCCCTCTTGTTTTGGAGAGTTCCCTTCTATGAATACTTTGGAAAGTTCCTGGGGCAATGACCCAGCATCAGGTCAGGCCTCCTGCAGGCCAGCTCTTGGCAGGGCCCCAGGAGGTCGTGGGGATGAGGGGATCACAGGCAGGGGACTCAGCCCCTGAAGGAAACTGGGTGAGTCCTGTCAGCTTCATGTTCTTCCTGTTCTTCAATCCAAGGAAACTGTTTTATATTATTTGATAATTCACTAATCTTCATTTGCATGGTTATCATTTTGTTTGACTGTGGTTGGCCTTTGTTATCAGAAAATGCTTATCTTTTTTCTCCAATTTTCATCTTTCTTTTTCTGTTCTACTTTGTCATAGATTCCTCTTTTTTTTACTGTAAGCCCTTCTGTTAAAAATGTAAGCTCCTGCTATCATATTTTTATTTAATAAGAGATTTTCACTATTTTTGTGATTGTCTCTTTTTAGCATCTATTTGTATTTCAAGAATGCAATGTATTGTATTACATTGTAGAGGAGTATAGAAATATATACATTTAGTGTCTGAGTGTACCCTTTTAAAACTCTTATCAGCTGCTTGCTTTGTCTCTCATTTCTCAAAGTTCTTCTTTTGTTTATTTATTTCCCAAGATGGGAAGCCAAGCTGCAATACACAGCAGAAAAGCCAGGACTCTAAAGGGCTCAGTGAAAGGCTAACACAAGAAAGCAAATGAAAGAAAACAAAAAGTAACAGAACAATGATAATGACAAAAGTTCTGTGTAGACAGAAAGGAAAATTACCTGTCTTTTGCCTTGGGTGTGTTGAGGGGAATTTGATACCACAGTCCAGCTTTCCTGTGAGTTTATGATAAAAATTTCTGCTACCTTTAGAGATTGAAAAACTCAAGTCTAGGATTTAATTTAAAGGACATCACCATAAATTTCAAAGGATTGGTATCCTGGAGATCATGTTCTATAACAGTGATGCAATAAAGGTACAAATAACAAACAGAAAAATAAAAAAGCCCACATATTTGAAAACCAAAACAAACAAGCAAAGAAAGCAAATAGATAAATAACTTACGTCATAAAGAAATCACAATGAACTTTAGAGAACACAACTGAACCATAATGAAAAGATTACATATCAAAACTTCTATAATTTACTCAAAGTAGAAGAAGAAGGGAACTTTATAGCCTTTAGTATTTTTATTACAGGAGAAGAAAGACTGGAAATTAATGAACACAGAATTCATCTCAAAATTACAAAATGTATAGCAAAATATACCCACAGAAATAAAGAAATAAATTAATATAAAATAGAAATTAATGAATCAAAATAACCATGCAAAAATAGGTTATTTGAAAAGAATACTACTATTGAAAGACCTTTGGCATTACTTATTATAATACACATTAGTGCTGTTTGCTAAATATTTATGACCACCCGTCTTTTGAAAGCATGGTAAAACTGCACTTTTTAATCCGTGTAGGATTAAAAGGGAGGCAAGTGACTCATCCTATCCATTGGGCTGTGAGTATACTAGAAATGGCATATATCACCTATAACCCAGAATACTTACTTGCCAAAGTGATAATTCCCTTATATTTTTTATTCTGATATTATGATTGTCAACATTCAAGATGGCATCTCCTTTATCAGCCTGAGTTTCTGAATGGCTATAATGGGAATAGATGCCCACCATTGACCTCAGGTGGAAATATTATAGCCTGCTTGAAAAATAAGATGTGATGTTTTAAATCATTGAAAAACTGTTTTGTAGCAAACAGAGTTTAAAACATAGGCCATGCTGACTAATGCACTGTAAGAAGAGAGAAAGGAAGGATGGAAGGGAAAGAAGGGAGGAAGGGAGGAAGAGAGAGAAAAGGAGGGAAGGGGAGAAGAAAGAAGGAAGGAAAGAAGAAAGAAAAGGAGGGAGAGGGAGGAAGGGAGGGAGGGAGGAAGGGAGGAAGAAAAAAGGAAGAAAGGGGAAGGAAGAAAGAAGGGAAGGAAAAACAAAAGAAAGGTTAAAATCAGGGTAGACAAAAGGAAGTATGTACAAATGATGAATAAATTTAAAATATTATAAAAGAAAGTTATGTAAAACTTCATGAAAAATTTTAAATCTTTTATTAAGTTTATAAATTTCTATAAAGATTGACTTTAGCAAACAGATTTAAGAAGAAATAGAAAACTTGAATACTTCTATTAATAATAATCATAAGCAAATTGGGCCGATAGTTAAAATTCTTCCCATAAAGTACACAAGTGGCCTGGATAGTTTTACTGATTATTCTACCAAATATTTATTGTGCAGATAATTATAACCTTATGCGGACTCCCAGGGTACAGAAAAGAGAGATCAGTTTTCAAGACTAGTAGAAACTTGATTCCAGTACAAGAGAGCAAAAATTGGATGTCAGTTACATTCATTAACATAAGTATCCTTATATCTTCACTCATTATCTTTTTAACCTCATATTGTATTCCTTTGTCTCTACCTCAATCCATATTACCACTAGTGATCTCTTAAATTTTCCTCAAAGACTCCAGACACATGCATGCTTCCCAGTATTTGCATTTACTTCCCCACTGCTTGAAACCTTCTCCCTGATAGCCTATTGGATGGCTCCTTTACATCCTTCAGACCTTCTTACAAATATCACCTCAATTATTCCTTCCCTGGCCTCTGCATCAAAAACTGAAACCATTATTCTAATACTCACTATTCCTCTTTTCTGTTTAGGTTTTCCTCCTTGCACTTTTCACAATCTGACCTGTATTATTTCAGCACCTTGTTTATAACCTGTCTCTCAGCTCTGCAAGGAGAACAGAGACTTTTGTTGATTTTGTTTACTTCCAAAGCTTCAGCAATTAGCATAGTGCCTAACACCTAGTGAGGGCTCAGTAATTATTTGTGAAATAGATTGATAAATGCAAAAGTATTGAACAAAGTCAGCATGACAAATTTAGCAGTGTATTAACAAATACAGTATGTCTCCATTGAGCTTTTCTCAGGAATGAAACTTAGATTGGAAAAATGTATTCAAATGGCAGATAAATGGGAGAAAAGCAAAAAATTGTTTCACCAGATGGGAAAAAACCATGTCACAGAATTCAAAACAAAAGATACCTTCTTTAACCAACAAAACAACAGCAAGCATAATACTTAATGGTAAAATATGACAAGTATTATCTTTAATATCAGAAACACAAAAACATGCCTTTTTCCCTTCTCCTCTTTTCACTGCATTTTATTTAATGGAGTAAGATAATCAAAAGACAAATAAAAACATACAAATATTGAAAAGAAAGAAATAAAGCTCAACATTTGCACAGAGGCTATGATTATCAACATAAATTTAAAATAATCCACAAACTCAAAATCATTCACAGAATCAACAAAAGAATATGGAAATTTCTAGATACAAAATCAATATAACAATATCAGTCAGAATCCCAGTGAATTGATTTGTTTGATCAGACAAACTGGCTCTAAAATTTATTTGGAAAAGTAAAAAAGCAATGAATAGCCATGACTCCTGAGGAAGAGGAACTGGTTGGGGGAATTTCTCCACCACAGATCCAGACATACTATACGGCAGTGTGGTATTGGCCCAGGGCAGGACAAATAGACTAATGGGACAGAATAGACAGCCCTCAAACAAACCACACCTCTCTGGATACTTGATAATGACAAAGATGACATTGTAGATCAGGAGAGAAAGAATCAACTCCCTGGTGAATAGTACTAGGAACAATTCATCTATGAATAGATTGTCAGTATCACTTGTCAACCTCAACTTGCCAATTTCCCTTCCAGAATTCACAATTGTGCTGGCCTCTCTTCTGTTGTCATTGTCTATGTCTCATGGTCTTTTTCTTTTTTTTTTTTTTATATTTTTATTTATTTATTTATTTATTTTATTTCGGCATATTATGGAGGTACAGATTTTAAAGTTTCAATAAATGCCCTTCCCCCCTCCCCCCACAAGTCTGAGTTTCCAGCATGACCATCTCCCAGATGGTGCACATCTCACTCATTATGTATGTATATACCTACCTCCCTCCCCCCTCCCACCTGCTCTATACCCTATTACTATAGTACCTATGTGTCCACTTAGGTGCTACTCAGTTAATACCAGTTTGGTGGTGAGTATATGTGGTGCTTGTTTTTTCATTCTTGGGATACTTCACTTAGTAGTATGGGTTCCAGCTCTAACCAGGAAAATATAAGATGTGCTATATCACCGTTGTTTCTTAGAGCTGAATAGTACTCCATGGTATACATATACCACATTTTATTAATCCATTCTTGGATTGATGGGCACTTGGGCTGTTTCCACAGCCTTGCAATTATGAATTGTGCTGCTATAAACATTCGAGTGCAGGTGTCTTTTTTGTAGAGTGTCACTGGATCATTTGGGTAGATGCCCAGCAATGGGATTGCTGGATCAAATGGTAGATTCACTTGTATCGCTTTAAGGTATCTCCATACTGCTTTCCACAGAGGTTGAACTAGTTTGCAGTCCCACCAGCAGTGTAGGAGTGTTCCTCTCTCTCCGCATCTACGCCAGCATTTATTGTTTGGAGACTTTTTGATAGAGGCCATTCTCACTGGAGTTAAGTGATATCTCATTGTGGTTTTGATTTGCATTTCTCTGATGATTAGAGATGTTGAGCATTTTTTTCATGTTTGTTGGCCATTCTTCTGTCTTCTGTTGGTTTAGGCTCTTTTCCCTTCATTTTGGTGCAGTTCGTGGAGTGAGCAAAAGGAAAGGCTTGGATTTATTTCACAGTGTTTAAATGGAAGTAAATTAGTCATTATCTTTTTAAAAATCTCATTCTATTTTTTAAAAAAGATGACATATCTCAAGAACTTTCATTTTCTTTAAAATGTTTATATTATCACAAGTCAATCCACAATTTCACTAAACGTTGGACAAAGGGTAATGTTTCAGAGAATATGTTTAATATCTCATAATTCTTTTATTATTTGTTTTCATATTAAAGCTGAAGACATAGTATTATTTCACTTGTGAAAGTATAATCAGAAACTGGATATGAGGAAAGCTTGTGTCTATAGGTAATGGCTATCACATGTAAATTCTGTGTTCACTACTTGAGCCATCAGCTCTATTTGAGAATTAAAGACCCTATTTTTATAGTATCCAGTATTGAAAATGTTTGCTGTGCAAAGAAATCTTTATCATTTTGCTAGATATTTTCTCAAGAAAGGTATTTTCTCCAGTGCGAGCACTCACTCCACTTACTCTGCCTTCACTAATAATCATGTACCAGAGAGCTTTTTCACTCGCAGTTCAGCAACAACGCGGTGCTGGGGGTACAGCAATATCCTCAGCCTGAAAGGGTGATTGTTGAGAGCCTATCCTGGGCCAGGGGCCTGGTTGCTATGGCGACCCTGCTGCTCTGCCATGGCTGTTCCTCACTGTGGGTGGAAAGAAGCTCCCCTGCCAGCAAGTACGTGGGATCCTGGCAGCTGGAGAGAATACTGAAATAATGCGCTGCTTCCCCAGATGGGAGCTCTGAGTCTTCTTTTAAATCCAATAGGCAGCTCAGTCTCTGTGGGAGAGTGGGGGTAATTAGGATCTAGCCCCTTGCAAGTGCAATACATGCATGGTGAGATGCTGCAAGCTGCTTCCTTTTGAATAAAAATTGTGTGGAGAACCAGATCTTAAATCAAAAGATTTTAGCCTGACCTCGCAGTAATGGACATTTCAAAGAATTTGCATTTATGAATAGGAATAATATAATTCTGAGGAATTTAAATGGCAGCATTTAAGTGGAGATTAAAAAATATTTTTTCATTTCATTTGGAGACCTTAAACTGATTTGGAAATCAACCCTATTAACTCAAGGTTGTCAATTTGACTTTACACAGTATTGGAATTTATCTCATACTTTTCTAAATTTGAAAGCTGCTATTCAGTTAAAGTTACACTTGATGCTGTAATGTAATGACCCCAGTCTCCCCCTTGCAGATACAGAGCCTAAAGTGGAGGCTAGAATTGATCCACATAAAGCACAGTAGAGCAAAAGAGAAATAAGTAGAAACTGACTCTGCATCAGTAATCACGTTAATCAGAAGTCCTCAGTGGCAGTTTTGGTGATTATCCATGGGCTTACCACTTTATCTGCTCTTGAGCTATTCTCACTGCGATTTTATCTTTACTGAGTTATAAACTTTAAAATCCAGCAAAGGTAACTCCTACCTTTGCATTTGGTGTTTGGACTCTTTTCTTTGTATCTCGACTTATTCTGTTCTGAAGGGTTTTTTTGGGGGGGTGGGGGTGGGACACATTCATCTGGTTTTGATACCTCCCATTGTCTGCAATAGAAATCTCCCATAACCACATCAAATGCTTCAAGAATAGCAAAGGAGAGAAATTGTGGAAGTATGGTATTTGAAACCCTGGGGCTATGTGGCACACCCGCCAAAATTAGGGGTAGCTCTTCTTTGGACTGGTACTAATTTATTTATTTTTAAATTATTTTTTAAATAATGAGTGAGATGGAAATTTTAGAACATCAAGAGACAGAGAGTAGTCTAAAGATTTTTCTGCCAACCCCGTTAGACTGTGTTCAATGACATTCAGATACTACACACATTGGTCTCAGCCATCTGTTGGTGAAATTTTTTTCTATTATATGAAGTTTCAAGCTGTTCTAACCTTTTCTACTTCCCCATTTTGCGTGCGTGTGTGTGTGTGTGTGTGTGTGTGTGTGTGTGTGTGTCAGAGGAGGAATGTTCAGGAAATGATTTTGTCTGTACAAGCCACAGCTACAGAAGTGGAGAAGTGTTCAGACTCCTTTTTTTAACCTCCTCTGGGGCAGATGAAATTCTCATGAAGTCCAGTTCAATAGTAGACAAGCTGAATCTC